GATGCCATGGGTTCCCAGGTGGGTCAGGGCTCGGGATCCCCTCGCTCCAGGCACTGGAACGGTCCATGTCCTTCATCACCCCCGTAGCCCACAGAGTCTGGGTCCTCCTGTCAACTCAGTGCCATGTTCCTGCTACTCCTAGTCTTTCTCTGTACCCTCTAGGACAGCCGGGGCCCCTCAACTTGGCCCTTTACCCAGGGTTCCTGAAGTCCTCCAGGAACCCCATATCCTTCAGCTCTTGAATGTTCTGGTCTGGACATTGGGCCCCTCTTGGGCTGGGTTTTCTGGATAACCCCCATCTGGATTCCCAGCTCCGTTCCAGGGAGCCCCAGTCTCCCCCAGCTCTTTTGGGCTCCCCCTTCACGCTCTGCTCTGCCCTTGTCTCCACCTCACCTTTGGCCCCATAGACCAAGTTCGTGCAGTGCCCGGATGGAGAGCTCCAGAAACGCAAGGAGGTGGTGCACACCGTGTCCCTGCATGAGATTGACGTCATCAACTCCCGCACCCAGGGCTTCCTGGCCCTCTTCTCGGGTGAGGCCCGTCCATCCCGCCCTGTCCCAGCCCCAGCCTGGTGGCTTCCCTGACTCACCGTCTTCCAGGCCTTCCCTCCCCTCCCCCGTCCCCAGTACAGGCCTCTGGTGACCGTGCCGTCCCCTTGTGTGCCGTCCTCTGTTCTCCGTCTGTGAGTGTAGGGTCTCCCTCCCCTCTGTTGCTGTCTGAGTCCCTCAGTGGTCTGATGGTCACACATCCCTGCCCTTTCCCTCCTGAGTTCTGTCCCTGTTCCTCCTCCGTGGGGACGTTCCAGCCTCCCCAGCCCTCCTGTCACTTTGCCACTCCAGTCTTGGTCTCTCTTCCCTCTGTCCCTGGCATCCCGTCTTCGTCCACCCTCAGGCCCTCGATCCTGGTCTCCTCTCTGACGCCCCCCCATACCACTCCTGCCTCCCGCAGGCGACACAGGGGAGATCAAGTCAGAGGTCCGCGAGCAGATCAATGCCAAGGTGGCCGAGTGGCGGGAGGAGGGCAAGGCAGAGATCATCCCCGGGGTGAGAACCGAGGCACGGCCCGGGGGCGGAGGATGGGGACAGGACAGACGGGCGGGGGGCCACAGGCGGGGGTTTGACACACGCCCCCCTGGCTCCCAGGTGCTGTTTATCGACGAGGTCCACATGCTGGACATTGAGAGTTTCTCCTTCCTCAACCGGGCCCTGGAGAGTGACATGGCGCCTGTCCTCATCATGGCCACCAACCGCGGCATCACCCGGTGAGCCGGCTGCCAGCTCCCTCAAAGGCCTTTGGGGCAAACGGGGTGCTCTGCGCAGCGGGTATAGCCGCAGGGTACATGGGGACGTTTGTTGAGTACCTCGGTAGGAGAGGTATGGGCATAGCTGCTGTAACCCAGACAGGAGGCTGCACTTTCCCCCTAAACAGGGCGGCGGGTGGTACAGGGTGGGCAGGCAGCTCCACTCCACAAGGAGGTGTAGGCACCGTGTTCTTTCTGTTTTGCTGTTCTCGGCTCCCCTAGGGCTGCAGTTCCCAAACTATGTGCCGAGGCACCCCCTGGTGTTACAGAAAGCACACGAGAGAACTGTGGGCTATTTTGAGTTTTGGAGGCACGCACAGTGACATATGTTAGACACCACATAAACCACTACAATTAGGTCACTTGGACATAAGTACTTAATTAACAGAACTCTTAGTGTTTCTTTTGGCCTAAGGATGCCATGGGAAAATTCCTGAGACGTGAAGGGCACAGGTTCCGAGAAAGCTTGGGAACCTCTGCTGTAGGGTGTTGCCAGCACGCCGGGCCCCGTTGTCCCGGCTGGCTCTTTTCCCCGCCTCATCTGCGTTTTGGCCCACAGAAGGGAGAAGGAAGTGGAGGCAGGCGGTCCCCCATAGGCTAGGGCCCGGAGGCAGCAGCCAGCGCTTCCACCATCATCCATTGCTCAGCACTTCTGGGCTGCACGGCCGCGCCTGGCTGCGCGGAATGCCCGGGAAGGTCAGTTCCGGTGCTGGAGCCAAGTGCCAGCTGAGACTGGCTGGTGGGGCTGGTTATCGCGGAAGAAGCGGACATGGCTCTGGGTCCACATGCTGGACATCGAGAGCTTCTTCCTCACCTGGGCCCTGGACAGGGACGTGGCGCCTGTCCTCAGGGCAGGCAGCGCTTCCTGGAAGGACTGCTTGGACCCTCAAGAACGGCAGGATACTCCTGCTGTCCCAGGAGGCAGATACTGTCTCCGGAGGCAGATAATGTCCCGGCCCCATTTTACCGATGACGACAGCAAGGCCGGTGACTTGCCCGAGGTCACACGTAGAAGGTGGCAGGGCCAGAATTCCATCTCCGAATGACTGAGAATTGGCAGAGACCGGCTGCCAGCGTGTTTGTAGCAGCCACAGAGCAGGGTGTGGGACTGCACACGGGGCCTCCCCTGGGAGAGGCCACAGACCCAGGCGCTCCTCATCCTTGGCAGATTCTGTATTTGCATATCTGCTTACTCGCTAAAATTTACACTCATACATACATCGCTTAACGACGGGACACGTTCTGAGAAAAGTATCATTAGGTGATTTCGTCGTTGTGTGAACATCATAGAGTGAGCTTACACAAAGCTAGATGGCGCAGCCTGCTGCACAGCTGGGCTGTGTAGTGCTAGTGTTATGGGACCGCCATTGTATATGCAGTCTGTGGACTGAAGTGTTATGTGGCGCGTGACTGTAATTGTAACCCCCAAATCGGTGTTCGAGACCGTTTCTTGGTCATTCACGGCTGTGTGCAGAGTGGCAAAAAATTTGAGTCACCTGAAGTGGACACTCCCAACTGAGGTCAAACTAGGCAACGCTCTGCCTTCTTGTTTCAGCTCTTGTGCTGTAAACAAGTGTCCTTTTCATGATCTATTTAGTGCCACATTTGTCACTTTGGATGCTTTTTTGTTGGTGATTTTGCTGTTTAAAATGGCCTCTAGCTGTCCAGCGTCAGGAATACTGGGATGTGCGTCACAGAGGAAAGCCGTGTGTTGGACGAGCTTTGTTTGGGCCCCAGTTAGAGTGCTGTTGGCTCTGAGTTCACTGTGAATGAGTCAATACTGGATATTAAATAAGATATCTTCAAACAGAAACACATAAAACCAGGTTATGTTTGTTGGTTGACAAAAATATTGCAACCAAAGTCTCCCAAGACCCTAACCGTGTATTTCCCCAGGAGCTGTGGCTCAGTACTTGCTAATGGAGTGTTGGCCCCCACTTTCTAGAATGTAACTGCCGCGTGTACGAGAACTGACTGTTTCCTAGCGCCTGCCATGGGCCTGGCCCTGTGCCGGGTCAGGTGCAGCAGGGAACAGGGCTGCACGGGCCCCCTGGCTCGTGGAGCTCTATGTCAGGCAGGAGAGTGGGACCTTGAGCCAGTAATCCCCAACATAGACATCTAGCTAAAACCTCATGGCTCTGTGGGGCAGTGACGCAGTCAGGAACGGCTGTGCACACCGCCAGCTGGGAGCTGAAGGTTAAGTGGTATTTGGCCCAGTGAGTGGGCTGTGGTGGGGGTGTGGGGATTTTCCGAGTAGAGGGAATGGAGAGCCGGGTTCAGGGAGTGTCGCCCTGACAGCCCTCCCTTCCCCCTCCTCCCCAGGATCCGGGGCACCAGCTACCAGAGCCCCCACGGCATCCCCATCGACCTGCTGGACCGCCTGCTCATCGTCTCCACCTCTCCCTACAGCGAGAAGGACACGAAACAGATCCTCCGCATCCGGTGCGGGCAGGGCTGCCTGACGTTCAGGGCGGGACCAGGCCTGTGAGGCGGGGGTCTCTGGGCCTGCAAGACGTAGGGCTGGGCTGGGCATCCAAGCTGTGGGCCCTGATCTGGGGGTGGGGGCCATGTCGAGAAGGGAGGGGATGTGCCGGTGACTGACCGTGGAGAAAGAGCCCTGGATGGGGGCGGTCAGGAGGCCCAGGTTTTAGGCCCAGCCCATGCCTCAGTGTCCCTTTTTGCTCAGCCTTTTGTGCTTCTGAGGACACAGACTCCAGATGTCCCCCAGGAGGTCCAGCAGCACCCAGGGGGAAGGGCCACGGGGTTGCTGTGGTCGGAAGCCCAGCCCGGCTGAGCTCCCTGACCCTGCCCGCCCGCAGGTGTGAGGAGGAGGATGTGGAGATGAGCGAGGACGCCTACACAGTGCTGACCCGCATCGGGCTGGAGACCTCGCTGCGCTACGCTATCCAGCTCATCACGGCCGCCAGCCTGGTGTGCCGGAAACGCAAGGTCAGCCGGCTGAGAGCCTGCAGGGGCCAGATGGAGTGAGCGAGTGACCTGCCACGCCAGGGGCTCTCAGTGGCTTGTTGATTGAGTCCTAGAACATGCGTTTTCAAAGGCCGGGAGCTTTGGTCTCAGGTTTCTGTCTGTATCTCCTGGCCTGACACACAGCGCTCGGTAAATACTTGTTCACTGCAAGTTGATGCTAAGTCCATTTGACAGATGAGGAAACTGAGGAATGGAGAGGTTGGGCCCATAGCCAGGAAGCAGGATTTGAACCCAGGCGATCTGGCCCCAGAGTCCCCACCCTGACCCCCTTCCCAGGGAGGGGCCCCACTGAGGTCTCTCATCCCCCTTTCAGGGCACAGAGGTGCAGGTCGACGACATCAAGCGAGTCTACTCGCTCTTTCTGGACGAGTCGCGCTCCACGCAGTACATGAAGGAGTACCAGGATGCCTTCCTCTTCAACGAGCTCAGTGAGTGGACCCCGCCGCACCCGCCCCCGAGGGTCGCCCACCCTGCAGAGGTGGCCTGGGGAGCTCAGGCCCTGCCTCTGGCCCTACTGACCACGTGGCCTTCCTTCTTCCCACAGAAGGCGAAACCATGGACACCTCCTGAGCTGACGCCACCCTCGCCCCACATCCCCCGTTTTCTACTAGAGTTCTGACACTGTGACTTTGTATAAAATGGTTCTGAAACTGGACCCACTGTGTGTGTGTATACACGTGCACACGCACCCTGAGCCCAAAAACAACCCCACAGTGTGTAGTTCAAGAAGTCTTTATTGGGAGGGGATGAGAGGAACGTCTGCTGGCCCCAGGAGTTGGGGTGGATGTGGATGTGAGAGGTTGGGATGGGGGATCCTTAGAGGAAGAGGAGGCCTGGGGGGCACAGGCCAAGGGCTGGTCTCTGAAAACCCCGCAGTCAGTGGTCTTGATCTGGCAGGGCCCGCAGTGACAACTGAGGGCCACGGGGAAGGAGACCATGGGGTCCACACCAGGCGGGCAGCCGGGGAGCCGGATGGAAGCAAAGCGCAGCTCACGGTAGGTGCACACTGGCTGGGGAATGGCCGGCAGGGCAGCTGGCATCACCCGCACCTGGAGAGAGGGGGTGCAGCATGAGCATCTGCCTGGGTTGGGCCCTCCCCTGAGCCCCCCCACTGCCCCTCACAGATCCCAACTCAGGTGTCCAGGGGACCCTCTGTGCTCTCCCTCCCACACACCCAGCTCAGACTCCAGTTCCCCGGCCTCTACCCAGGGGGCAGGCCCCTTGCACCCCCGCTGCCCCCTCCCGTCCTCTGTGGGCCCCCCCTGGGCAGCTCACCATGCTGGGGCAGTAGCCGGCACAGATGCTGGTGGTGAAGGTGATGCAGATGGGGCAGGCCTCCTTCTCAGCAGCCAGAGTGGCGTTGATGGGCCGGCACAGTGGCCGCAGTGGCCCCCTGGATGCCCAGACCCCGCCAACACTCAGCAGCATCCACAGCAGCAGCCCCTGGGACAAGGCCAGTGCCTCAGGGCCAGCCTGAGACCTCAGCCCTGGGCCCTCACCCTCCCGTCCCCCAGATACACATTGAGGGACCCAGCTCCTCTGCCTGACATCTTCCATTCAGGGCCCGCCCTCCACTTTGATCCCCCATCCCAATACCCAGGGACCCCCGATACCCCAACACCTCAGATACCCCACTCAGGCCCTGCCCTACCCGCTTCCCTCCTGGCAGGAAGCCTGCTGGCTGTCCACACCTTTGCCAGGTCATAAGACGCTCCCTCTTCGCGCCAACTGGACCCTGGATGGAGTTGCAAGGGGCCCAGGGCCCTACAGCCTTACCTGGAGCGTCTCCATCCTCGGTGCCTCCTCTGCCGTGTTTACTCTGGTCTTACACTACTGATCTTTGCTGGTGCTTACCCTGGTCTTATACTACTGGTCTTATACCCGCAGGCTGTGGGGGAGGCAAGGCCACTGGGCATGCCCGCATGGCAGGGTAACCTGGACACTAATCCCCCCGGGGGCGAGAGGCGGACAAGGTCAGGGAGGTGCAGGAGTGGCTCCCTGGAGCAACCCCTCCCCCCACTCGCTGAGTGGCTAGGCGCCTTAAAGCAGGAGACACCCAGGTGAGACCAACTTCGCAGACTCAGTCCGCAGGGGCTAGAAAGGTCGTGCTGGGGACACATGAAGTAAGGTATAGGAAGCCCTCTGCCGTGCCCCACACCGTGTAGCCGGGCCTGGAGGAACCCAGGGGGAGGCTGGAGCTCGCCCCTCCGACGACCCTCAAATGGAGATGGGCTGAAGCTTCAGGTTCACGCTCCACCAGCCGTGAACTGAAAGCCATTCCTGTGCCAAAGTCCAACCTTAGGAGGGGCATGGCTTCAATATGGGGTTCTGTGCTCAGAGGCGGGGGGCTGCCTGCACCCAGACGCGCCCCCCCTCCACAAGGGCCTCAGCGGGAGCCCGATCTCCCCCACACTTAGGCCCCCAGAAGCCAGGATGCCGGAGCCGAACTCAGCAGAGTGCGGTTATAGGTTCTTTAACTCTCATTGAGTAAGCTCTCCCGCTCTGCCGCCGACGGCGCGGCCCGCCCGCTGGCCCACCGAGCCGAGCTAGTTTTCCCGGCTCAGCCCAGGCCCCGCAGCGGAGTGGGCGTGCCCGGTCTGCCCCGCCCCCACGTGGTGGGTGGGGCTCCGACCTTTAGCCCCGCCCACCGCGCCCGTGTCGTGGTCTTCTAGGCCCCCGCTCTCCCCGCCCAGGGGGCGTGTCCGGGGCGGGGCTAGCGCGCCCGGCTCAGGCAAGCGCCGGCTTCAAGCTGCCGTAGCGGGAGTTTTCGGTGCGGTAGGCTTGCGGCACGCTGTGGATGCCCGGCACGGGCTTCCAGTGAAGGCCGCCCCACGGCAGCTCCAGCGGGCAGAAACGGTCGAGCCGGCGCAGTGGGTGAAGCGGGGGTCCGTAGGACTCCTGAGCCAGAGGCAACGCTCCGCGGTGCGGCACGGCTGGCGTCACCGGGCGGACACGGGGCACGCGGATCTCCGGTGGCCGGGCCGGCCAAGAGGAGCACGGATAGGCCTGGGGCGTCTCCTCGAAGGTCCAGGAGGTCAGCGAGTCATTGCGGCGATATCTAGACAACTCCTTCCTGTTTAGGGGGAGGAGGAGGCAGGATGGGGGGACACAGCTGGATTCCAGGGAGGAGGCTGAAGTTCAGACCTCCGAGGCTGCCCGCCCGAACTCCTGCGTTTCGAGGTGAGGACACATTTGCAGGAGTCGGGGACCCCATGGGAAGGATGGGGCTGGGAACTCCTAGCCTGGACTCCTGGATCCTCGAGTACTTAAGGGTCTGGAATATAGGGTTTTCGCATCCTTGGGAAGGAGTATCTGTGGACTCCAATATCTAAGTAGGCCCCGCCCTGGCCCCCGAGATCCAGAACTCCCTCTTCGGCACTCCGCAGGCTTCATGTTCCTGAGAGTCGACGCTAAGGATACCGGGGCGCTAAGAGGGAGGGGGCTGGGTCTGAACTTCCGCTTCTTGCAGGAGCAGGAGCTGAAGGCCGAGACTACTGAGTCGGGGAGGGGGAACCGACACCGGGGCTCGGCGTCCCACCAGCCTGTGCAGGGGCTGTGCAGGGGGCGGTGTCGAGCGGGGCCCCAGGCTCACTTCGGGTAGGCCCGGAAGTCCCGTGCCGAGGTGGTCAAATAGAGCTGCTGGCGGTCCAGGATGGCCTGGTCGGATACTGGGAAAAGCCGGCCGGCCAGGTCGGGGCTTTTTGTCTAGGGGATTAGAGCCTCATGAGAATCCGGGGAGGAGGGGTGAGCAAGAAAGAAGTTTCATACCCCGTTCCAAGTCCTGGCTCCCAGATTCAGAATCCTTCCTTCAGCCTCCTCAGTCCTTCTAGACCAGGCCCTCACGCCCCCCGCAGAATCCGAATTCCTCCTGACCAATCGCACGCCAGCACACTTGACCTTCCCTCCCCAAATCAGAACCCTGACCAGCCTCACCTCCAAAGTCCAAACCCTTTCTGCCCGTCATCGAACACAAAGCCAAGCCCCCAGCCACAGAAAAACTTCCCGGCTCCGCCCCCAGACTCAAAACTTCCTGGTCCCGCCACTGGAATTCAGTAGCACCTCGAGCAACAATTCTTCCTCGCTTCACCCCAACGGAGAAATGTCTACCCGCGACCCCATCCAGGAATATTCCAGGCCCGCCCCCACGTACAGTCGGCTGCCTAGCTCCGCCCCCAGCCTCAGATCCCCCTCCTAGCCCCGCCCCAGGATTTACTAGTTGCGCCGCCAGCCTCAGAACTGGGATTTCCGACCTTCGGTCCTCTGCTCCCTCTGGTCCCGCCTCAAGAGGTTCAAGTCCCTCCCCCAGTCTATGGAGCCTCCTGATTCCGCCCCAGACCTTTTAGCCACAGCCCCAGACTCAAAATTCCTTCTGGCCCCGCCCCAAGTTCTGCTAGTCTGGTCCCTAGCCTCAGAGGCCCTCCCATCGCACCGGCGCGGCCTTCAACCCCGCTACCCGGGACTGGCCCCCGCGGTGGCGGTCCGCAAGCTCCAGGGGCTGGTGCCCGACGTAGAAGGTGGCGCTCTGGTCCAGGCCGGGCCAGCCGGTGTACTGCGCCTTCGTCTCGCTGCACTGGTGCTTTGTGATCAGAGGGAGGCGCCAGCCGCGGTGTCTGAGCTGCGGAAGGTGATGCGGGGACCCAACGTGAGGGCGCAAGGGACTCCAGTGCGGTCCACAGCCCCAACCCCCACGGACCTTGGCATCCCAGAATCTCACCTTTTCCCCTAAGTCCTTGATCCCCACAGTCTGCGTCGGGTCAGCAGGCTCTGCGGCCTTGGGCTGCGCGTAGGGCCCGCCGTGGGTCTTGGGCGCGTGAGCCGAGCCGGAGGTCGTCTCCCATCTGCTGATGACCTCGTCGAAAGCCCAGATGTGCAAGTCCTGCTTTGCGGCCGGGGGCAGGGGCTCCGCGACCGTGGACTGGGGAGAAGGCGCGGGATGTCAGCTGAAAAGACTTGAGAGGCGGGCCGGTGAGGCAGTCCCAAGTCCCCTTCTCCCTCCAGTTTCAGACATCCAGGTTCCTTGGCCCCATCTCTCAGACCCAGGACTCCGAGACCCTCCTCCTTCGATCTGACAGGAGCCGGAGCTCTCAGTCCCCTTTTCTCTCCACGCCGGGCGTCTGGGTCCCCAGGCAGCTCCTTCAGACACACGACTCTAGCTCCCCAGTCTCCTTGAGGCCAGGAGCCTCTGGTCCTCTCACCTGCACAGTGGGCGGGGTAAAGGGCACGGATGGGATAAAGTGGTGGGCGACGCCACTGCTGGTGAGATGCCAGCTGGGCCAGCACCCAGGCATCTCGGTCCCAGAGATGGGGCGCCACGGGGGACCATGGCGCGGAGCTAGGGTCGGACCGGCCATGGTCCCACCCCAGCCCCGGAGCCAAGCAGGAGCAGGCTTGTTGTTGCCGTTGCCCGGGGCGACAGAACCCGCCCACTCTGAACCCAGCCAATGGGGGGCCTGCAGGCGTGTGGATGGATGGATGGATAGAGTGAGAAAAAGACCCACGCACAGAGGGACAAGGACTTTGAGAGAGGGGCACAGAAACGCAGAGAACTCGGGAGGGGGGAGACCCAGAAGAGAGAGAGTAGAAAGTGGGGAAGAGAAGGGGAAATAGAAGTTTCAGAGTTGTAAAGTTTTAGAGACATAGAGACGGGGGGGGGGGGGGGGGGGGGGGAGGGGACAGAGATCCAGAGAAGGGGCAGCATAGAGAGAGCTGAGGGGGGGGGGGTCGGAGATCCAGAAAGGGGGTCCAGAGACCCAGAAATAGAGGAACAGAGACCCAGAAAGGAAGGAGGACAGGGACCACCCAGCACATCAGGGAATCCGTGAGAAACACCCCCCTTTCCCACAGGGTCCCAGCCCTCTTGGCTGCCTCCTCCCTCTGCCCAGCCTGCCCACCTCGGGGGTAACGATTTCCAGACTTCCCCGGGGCCGTCCCTCCCTCCCTCCCTCCTTGTGTGTGCTGAAGGAGCCAGCATCGGCCTCGGCTTCGGCTGTCCCGCCTGCCTTTGATTTGGTTGAAAACTTCCACCTGGGGATGGGGGTAGGGGGCGAAGAGGGAGAGACCCACAGGGAAATACTTAGCAAAAAAAACGGGGGGGGGGGTTTCGGAAAGAGCTTTGATGAGTGAGAAAGAATTACAGACTAGAACGGGGGAGAGCCGGTGGGAAACAGACACAAAGAGAACTATTGACCCAGAGACCAGAGACAGGAAGTGAGATGAGAGACAGAGAGGGATGCGGCCAAAAACAGAGTGGGAACCATAGAGCCAGAACACAGAGATGGAGAAACAGAGGCAGCCAGAGCCCCACGCTGCCGAGCGGCCCCCAGCCTTCCCAGTCTGTGTTGGTGGGGGATGGGGGATGTCTATGCCCTTAGCCCAAAGCTGGTCTTAAGAGAGTGTGTGTGTGTGTGTGTGTGTGTGTGTGTGTGTGTGTGTTGGCAAGAGGCATGAGGCCATGGAGCGGTAATACAGGAAGGGGTGTCCTGAGGGTGTGGGATGTACCCCTGACTTCCCTTGTCACTTCCTCACGTTAAACACCTGTAGGTCAAGGCTTCTGCTTCCTCAGCCCCCATTATCTCATGCTACCAACCCATTCTTCAGACAGGGAAAACAGACACTGCCTTTTTTCTCTTTTTTCTTTTCTGTTGCTTTTTTTTTTTTTTTTTTGAGGAAGATTTAGCCCTGAGCTAACATCCGTGCCCATCTTCCTCCACTCTATATGTGGGACACGTGCCACAGCATGGCTTGCCAAGCAGTGCCATGTCTGCACCTGGGATCTGAACCAGCGAACCCCAGGCTGCCGAAGCAGAACATGGAAACCTAACCGCTGCGCCACCAGGCCGGCCCCAAGGCTGCCTTTTGCAGCCTGGCCCAGGGTCCCACTAACCCCCTCATTCAGGCTTCTGGGGCCCGTTCTCCTGTTGGATTTTCCTGGCTCACTCAAGGCCTCCGTGTGTCCAGATAAGCCCGGATCCTAGCCAGGGGGCAGGCCAATTGGTCAGAACCTCAGGCCCTCCTCAAGGTGTACCAGTTTAAGTTCTACTTCATTCTCAATGGGGGGTAAAGGTTGAGACAGGGTAGGGGGGTAGAAACCTGACTCCAACTGCCCACCAGAGCCAAACTCTCTAGCATCCTGACTCCCTGCCATTCAACCCTGCTTGTGTTCCTACTGTGACGGGGGTCTCACTACCTCAAAACAGAATATTCTAAGTCAACATTCACCACCTGACCAAGTAAGATTTCTCATTTGAACCCTAGCTCCCAGCTAATTGCCTCCCCCACCCACTTCTTGACAGATCCCCTCCTTGTCACTCTCTCCAGAGTGCACAAGGTGATGTCCTCTGAGATTGTGTGGTCAGCTATTTAGAAGCCAAGGGCCTCCAATGGTCAAATCCACCAGAGTTGATCTGACAAGTTGTGTATTAGAGCTGATAAACAGTAGGCACTCAGAAAATATTGGCTATTATTATCATCATCATTACCCTCAAGTTCATCCAAGAGAACTCCTATTCATCCTTCAAAACCCCATTTGGTTTCATCACCTGTCTTGCCCAGATTGAGCTCTCAAAATCAGAGAGCTGTGATTTTGTGACCATTTGATATGTTCCCAAACTGAGGCCCAGAGCAGCCAGGTGCCTCCTGCGGTCCCTCAGGATCCAGTTCTCTTCCTCCTCTGCCTGCCTAGTTCCAGGGCATGGGCCTAGGCCCTGCCAGTCCGGCTGAGGAGAGTGCAGACGCAGGCAGTGTCAATTCGAATCCATCGCCAGCCCACACGGCCCTGGGCATCAGTGGTCAACGCCCGCACGTAGGACTGCTTGGCCTTACACTCAGACACCCAGTGCCTCCGGTCCACACCCCGGCAGCCCCCTCCACCTCCACCAGGGCCACCTTCCCCAGCGCTGTCAGCCTTGCAGCGGGTCTCGAAGAAGTACTGGCGAAGGGGACTGCCACCAGCCGCAGGCACCTCGCCCAGCACCTCCACCTCGCGCCCCCGCAGGTCCACGGCCGTCCGGCGGTCTGTCACCCAGCCGCTGACTGCGTCGCACACGGCCAGCTCTCCCCGGCGACTCGCTGGGGCTGTCTCGCTCACCCCCCGCCGACTGCGGTTGGCTGGGCTGCCCGCTGGCTCCCCAAAGGCCCTGGCCTCCAGCAGGAAGAGCAGAGGGGGGCCCGCGGGAGCGCCCCTGGACAGGGCTACACGAGGGGACAGGAGGTCCCACTCAGGGGCTGGAAATGGGGGCAGTGGCGAGGGTGGGGGATGGGGCTCCATGGGGACACTGGGGAGGAGGAAAAGTAAGAGGATGGGGACGGAGCATGAGGGGTGGGGGCGCATCTCGCTGAGCACCTGAGGAGAGAGAGAAGGAAGCCGGAGTTAAAGAAGAGGGTAACAACTTAGTCGGGGGGCAGAAGTTGGGAATTCCAGGGGGACCTGCACCCCAGAATCACGGAGAGGCCCTAGTTCTAGAACCTTGGGGGACCCCTATATTCTAGGACTTAAAGAACGTCCAACTTCTAGATTAATCTTAATTATTCTACTACTATTACTAATCTTAGCCAACAAATGGGGAAATACAAGCTCAGAGAGGTTAGTAACTTGTACCAGGTCACATAGCCAGCAAATAAATGCAAGAGGTGGGACTTGAACCCTATCGGAGCAACTCCACTCTGTCATGCTGCCTCTACAACCCAGAGGAACCCTAAGTCCTGCAGCCTGGGGGAGGTTTGAGGTTCCCAAATTCTGAGAGGCCACGTCCTGGAATCCCAGGAAGACCCAGGTTCAGCTCAGGACTGCCACTTAAGGAGGCTGTGAAATTGATTCGGGAGTGGAAGACACTGGTGGGGGCACTGTTCTCGACAACATTCTAGAAGCCTGTGGTTTTGGGAAGGGGTGGCACAGAGGGGACTGGGATGCAGCAAGTGGTTACCAGACCTGTCAGCACCTCCTCCGCCTCCGAGCTCCGGGGCTGGGGGCCCCCAGGCTCCGGGGGGCCCCTGTGGGGGACACAGGTGGCCCCCTCCTTCCTGACATCTCAGGAGAGGGAGGGGGCAGCCACCTAGGGGAGGAAGCGGATGGGCAGGTTATATAGGCTGGTGGGGGAGGGGGCCTGAACCCCTGAGCGCTCCCCTTCCCGGTGTTCCTCTTAAAGCGTAGGGGACCCAAAAGTCAAGGCTGCACCCCCTTCCCAGAGGCCCCTTCCCTGCCCAGGTGATGGCTCCTGGCTGGGATGGGAAGCAGATGGGGGATGAGAGGGGAGGGGAGAGGCTGTGGATGGAGGAGGCTGGAAAAGATTACATCCTCCTCAGCCCATTCATCTCCCAGACGGAGCGGGGGCGGGGCTGGCCTGGACACCCGGGTCCCTGAGGGCCCACACTCATGAAGCCCTGGGTCCCCGAGGCTGCTTCCTGGAATGTTCTCTCCTCGCAGGACAGGCCAGGGCCCGTCCAAGACGTCTGCTACACATACCTGGAGTGGCTGCCTGCTCCGGCTGGGAGATGGGGAAATGGCAAGGGGGAGTGTGAAGAGGGGCGCATGTTGACCCAACCGGGACCGGGCGTCTAGATCCCCAGCTGCCTCCTCCCTCAGACCGGGAATCCTGGTCCCCAGCTGCCTCCTCCCATAGGAGACCAGGCGCCAGCTCCCTCTTCTCTCTGACCCAAGAGCCCTGGGCCCCAGCCCCTCCTCCTGCGGGAGCTCAGACCCCCGGCTCCCTCCCTTAGATGCAGGATCCAGGCCCCCAAATCTCTACTCTCAGACCCAGGAGTCAGGACCCCTAGTGTCCTCCTTCCCCAGACCCAGGAGTTCTGGAGGTCAAGCCCCTCCTCCCCAGGTACTCAGAAGTACGGACTCCCAGGTCCCTCCTCCCCGAGAAGATTTAGGCTGGGGTTCCAGACTTCTGAGACCCTGCTGGGGTAACCGGCTGCGGATCCGGACACTTTCCTCCTGCCTCAGTTTCCTCAGCCAAGCCCCGCCCCCGCCGGCCCCGCCCCCGTCCCTCCCTACCCGGGGGCAGGGCGACCCGGGCGCCGGAATCCCGGGGGAGGAGGCGCGGAGGCTCTTACCTGGGGCGCCCTCCTCGGCTCCCGCGGCTGCCCCTGGCGCGGCGGCGGCTCCTCCTCCTGCTCGCTGGCTGCGGGGACGCCCGCGCCTCGCGGCTCGCGCTCCGGAGGGCCCGGCCGGGGCGGGGCGGGGCGGGGCTGGGCGGGGCCGGCGGCGGGGGAGGGGCCGGGGTCCCGCCTTCCTCACGCGTGCCGGGCCTCGGAAGGCCGGCCCGGCTCCCGCAGCCAGCCCTCCTCCCTCAGTCCCCGGAGGCCATGCCCCCAGCTCCTCCTCCCTCAGACCCAGGAGGCCATGCCCCCAACCCCTCCTCCCTCCGACCCAGGGATCCAGGCCCCCAGCCCCTCTTCCCTCAGACCCAGGGGTCCCGGCCCCCAACCCCACCTCCCTCAGACCCAGGAGTCCCGGCCCCCAACCCCTCCTCCCTCAGACCCAGGAGTCCGGGCCCCAGCCCCACCTCCCTCAGACCCAGGAGTCCAGGCCCCCAGCCCCTACTCCCTCAGACCCAGGAGTCCAGGCCCCCAGCCCCTCCTCCCTCAGACCCAGGAGTCTGGGTCTGAGATTCCTTTGCCTTCTTTTGCCAATTTAGTGTCAATCCCGGGGCAGATTCCCACCCTCTCTCTCATCCCCACTTTCCCAGGAGCCCCAGGCCAGACATTAACCAGCTGGGCTTGGGCAGTGATAAGGACCGAGGCCGGGGGAGACAGTGGATGTGGGGGGCTCTCCCACAGTCGTCTCTCCTGGAATTTCCTGGGTGGGGACTGCGGAGAGGGTCTTGTCCTGAGCTCAGAGAAGGGAAATTCAAGGTATTATAGGACTCAGGGATAGACAAAGATAGGATTTGGTTAGAGAAAGTGAATAGTGACAGATGAAGGGGGCTGGGGGAAGGCACAGAAATGGAGTGGGAAAGGGGGCAGAGTCCAAGAGAAAGAGGAGGACAGACACCCAGAGAGAGGGGACACCCCAAGAAAAGGAGACAGAACCCTAGAAGGGGGACAGAGACCCAGAGAGAGAGACCTAAGACAGACGGAGATCAGACGGGAGCTGGAGCCCAGGACAGTCCTACTGGAGAGCCCTGCGCCCCTCCCGGGGAGCTATTTTCAGGAGGAAAACTGACACCCACCTTGGGGGGGGTCACCCATACACCTCCCTCAGCCTAAATATAGCATGGCAAGGTGGCAGGAAGGGTGTCCCCAGATTAGGGTGTTCCCCTCTCCTCCCCATCTCAGCCAAGGCAACATAGAAGGCGGCTACAGTTGTTTATTGGGGTGGGGGAGGGGCACCTCCCAGTCTCTAAGTGTCCACTCAGGTCACCTCCCTGACCTCTCCACACTTCCCTCCATCCCTAATCTCCAAGCACGTCCCACCCCCAACAGAGGGACTCTATGTAACCCAGTCTATGATGAGGTAGCATACGTGAGTTTTCAAAGAGTAATGGGAAGCAGTCCCGGTCCCCCTCTCTGGGTCCCTGTCCCCCTCTTTGGGTCCCTGTCCCCCTCCCTCTGGGTCCCTGTCCCTCTCTCTCTGGGTCCCTGTCCCCCTCTCTCTGGGTCCCTGTCCCTCTCTCTCTGGGTCTCTGTCCCCCTCTCTCTGGGTCCCTGTCCCCCTCTCTCTGGGTCCCTGTCCCCCTCTCTCTGGGTCTCTGTCCCCCTCTCTCTGGGTCTCTGTCCCCCTCTCTCTGGGTCCCTGTCCCCCTCTCTCTGGGTCCCTGTCCCCCTCTCTCTGGGTCCCTGTCCCCCTCTCTCTGGGTCCCTGTCCCCCTCTCTCTGGGTCCCTGTCCCTCTCTCTCTGGGTCCCTGTCCCCCTCTCTCTGGGTCTCTGTCCCCCTCTCTCTGGGTCCCTGTCCCTCTCTCTCTGGGTCCCTGTCCCCCTCTCTCTGGGTCCCTGTCCCCCTCTCTCTGGGTCTCTTCACCCCTTCTGTGGGTCTCTGTCCTCATTCCTGGGTCTCTTACCCCCTCCAGGCTGCTGTGAGAAGTGACTGGCTAAAAGTTGTATTATTTTCAACTTTTCTCAAACCCTTCCCATAACCTGTGCCTTCCTCTCTCTCTGTATTAAAAGGTGGTTGGATTACGTCAGAGGTTTCCAAGCTGAATTTCTTAGCTGTGTTCTGAGTTGACAAGAGGGACTCCCTAAGAGGAGTGTCCCCCTCAAACCAGTTCCCCTCTGATGTGACACAGTCGTGTCTCTCAGTAAGATTTCATTTAACCAAAAAAAAAGGGGGGGTGGTTATAGCTAAAAGTAAAAACGACAACACTCTGTGAACCACTGGACGGGTTTTAATAAATTAATACGATAAAGTCCTTTGAAAGATGCCTGCCACATAGGAAGCCCTATATGTGTTAGTGATTTAACCCGCCTCCTCCTCCTCGAAATGCCCTTTTAGTACTGAAAGACCTCTGAAAATGTTCTGGCTCCGTGAGGGTGACACTCTCCCCTCTGAGCCTCAGTTTCCCTGTTTGTGAGGAATGAGGCTGTTGGACTCAGGAGGTCCTGTGTATACCAGAAGGCTGATGGGGACACATGGGGTTGGCCACAAGCCACAAGCCCTGGCCCCGGGGGACAGGCCACGCGACCTTGGGAAGCCACTCCCATGCTCTAAGACTCTGGTTTCTCCCCTGGAAAGCAGAGTGGGCCCCCCAGTTTGCCTGACAGTCTCCCTGAGCTGCGGGAGGATGGGGTGGCACGCCTGGTCTGGGGTCTCTGTGATTCTGTGGAACAGAGATTGTGCGTCTCTCTTGGGTTCAGGGGAGCTGCATTTGTCTGCCTTTTTCTTTTCTGGTTCTCCTTCTCCGGGGCGCTCTGGTTTGTTTCCAGCCCTGGATGTCTGCCTCTCTCTCTCTCTGAGTGCCTGACAGCCCCCCTCTGGGTCTCTATCCACCACTCTTGGTCTCTGTCCCCGTCCATCTGGGTGTCTGTCTCCCCCTCTCTTTGGGTCTTTGTGCCCCTCTTCCTTGAGTTTCTATCTCTTCCTTTCTCTGGGCCTCTTGCCCTCCCCAGGTCTCTGTCCCCCTCCTTTGGGTTTCTGTCCCCCCTTCATGTCTGGACAGAGTACAATTTCTTCCTCTTTCCCCTTTCTGTGTGGCTCTGATCTCCACGTCTAGAAGCAAAATGGTAGGGGAGGACAGACAGGGGGGCGTTGAATGGCAAAACAAAGCAGGTGTGGGGTAAACGGAAGGAGTGTTGACATCTTCCTAGTTCACCCAGAAGCCCTCTGCGTGAACAACTGAATCCACGGATACAGAACCCAGCCCCACCCCTTGAAGTGAGTGACACTGGGCAAGCCAGTTCAGTTCGTCTCCCAGAGTCTACAATACCACACTCTCTCCCTGAAACATGATTCCTCCCCAGTGCTGTTGTCCTTGGGTCCTTTTCCTACCATTAAGTGCAAAACAAACCAACGTGGCCCTATGGAGCTCATACATACAGTCCGACTCAACCCAACATTCCTACAGGACTCACAGTGACATGACGTAACTCAACTCCGCATGGCCCTACAAGACTCAAACAGTTGTACCACCCAACTGAACCGGCCCTACGAGACTCACATGGTCATACAACTCATTACAGCTCAACTCAATGTAGACCTGAAAAACTTCCAGCCACATCACGGCGCTATTCAACCCCATGGAACCCTGAAAGACATACAGTCATACGTTCCAACCCAACTTAACCTCATGTGACCCTGAAAGCTCACATTCTATCACTTGACTCTTTGAATTTCTACATGACTCACAAGTTCACAGAACCTAAAATAACATGGCCCTAGAAGAATTGCAAAGCCACACAATTTCCAACGTGTCTCAACTCAACTCCATGACACCATGCATGAACACGCAATCACTCCCAACAATGCCATGGGCGGCCACCCAACCTGACCCAACATTGCCCTAGAGGATCATCAAACCACAGAATCTTGCACAATGCAGTTGGACAAGACTCACCCAGACTCGCAACCAAACCCAACCCAACATGGAACTGAAAAACTCACAAAGCTATGTGACCAAACCTATCTCGACACTACCTCTAAAGGCTTCACGAGGCTTTCACAACCCAATGCAACACAAACCAACAGAGTCTCCCGTCAACTCGGCATAACCCAGTGCCATTCATTGCCACCTAAGGAGGTACCCGCAGGAGCTACCAAACCACACAGCTGAAGACCCAAAAAGACTCTCAGCATTCCCCAACTCATTACCGCTTAACCTAGTTCTTCCTAAACCCAACACCCTCCCCCGACCTTCCCCTCCACCCACCCCCCTCCAAGGAAATGTGAGGTCCTGCAGATCTCAACTGTCCCTCACACTTCAGTGACCATGTGTTTCCCAGGGGGGGCCCAGAGTGGAGGCGGTAGCTCGGGTACCTCTCCATCCATCAACCCCCCATTGACCTTGCCCTCCAGTGGGCCACAAGGCTGCGTGTCCACATGGCTGTACATCCCGGCCTCTTCACTGTCTGTCTCCCGATGGTAAAAGTAGCTGAAGTTGGAGACAATGACTGGCACAGGCAAGGAAATGGTCAGCACGCCGGCAATGGCACACAGAGAGCCCACTATCTTGCCACCCACGGTGACGGGCGCCATGTCTCCATAGCCAACTGTGGTCATGGTGACCACTGCCCACCAGAAGGACTCAGGGATGCTGGTGAAATGGGAGTCTGCCCGGTCGGCCTCGGCAAAGTAGACTGCGCTGGAGAAGAGGACCACACCAATGAAGAGGAAGAAGATGAGGAGGCCCAGCTCACGCATGGAGGCCCGTAGTGTCTGGCCCAAGATTTGCAGGCCCTTGGAGTGCCGGGACAGCTTGAAGATGCGGAAGACACGCACCAGTCGGATGACACGCAGGATGGCCAGTGACATGGCCGGCTGGCCCACCCCCCGCTGCCGAGCAAGCTCAGTGCCCAGTGCCACAAAGTAGGGCAGGATGGCCACAAAATCGATGAGGTTCATTACGTTCTTGAAGAAGACTGCCTTGCTGGGGCAGGTTGCCAGGCGCACCAGCAGCTCAAAGGAGAACCAACAGATGCACAGCGTCTCCACCACAAAGAATGGGTCATCCAAGCGAGGCGGGGGTCCGGGTACCTGGTTGGAGCCGTTCAGCCGAGCAGGGAACTGCAGGGAAGAAGGGGTTCAGGGAGGACCATGCCAGGGCTGGGACACACTCGAATGGGCATATTTCTTGTTTAAATATCCAACTGCTTATCTACAAATTAGTCAATAGCCGCTGCCCCCAGACCCCCAGTTACTCAGATGTCTTCATTCCTTCCCAGGATCATAAGGATGGTCCCTGGACAGCTGACTTTGTGATCCCTGATCCTTCACTGGCGGGGCCTCCCAAAATGATGCTATAATGGGGTTCAACATCTTCTCTCCCAAAGTCCCACCCCTAGCATTGATTTTTTTAGATAGGGAGGGCCCTCGCACCTGCCCTACTCCCATGTGCCCTGCCCTCCCCAACTCAGCCCAGACTATATTGGGTAAGACTTTTCTGTACCCCAAACTCTCGGCTCCTCCTCTCATAGTCCTCAGCCCGACTTTCTTTGTAACAGATTCCTCCTACCCCCGCCCTCAGGCCCCACCCTCAGCTGCTTTCTTTGGGCCCTGGCTCTCACCACCTCCAGCCCATGGTTCCCACTGGTTACTGTGCAGACCTCAGATTTTTCAGGCTCTCCTGCACCCCTCAGCTTCGATTTCTTAATGTACTTGTCCTCTTGGCCTTCTGATAGGCCTCCTATTCAAATCCTCAGTCCTGGTCTCCATTAAGCTATACCTTCCCCACCCTCAGTTTTTAATCCCCTGGTCAGGCCCTGTCGCTGCGGTGCCCACTCTTCACAGCCCCTTGCCCCATTGAAGATAGGCCAGGTCCTCCTACCAGGTCTCCAATGCCCCGCCTACCCACAGCCAAGCCCCACCTTCCTGAGGCCCCCGCCTCCCACTGCCCCTTACTCCGCCTTTTGATTGGCTAGGTCTTCGTGGACCCCGCCCAGCTCCTCCCAAACCCCGCCTCTCTCCACCCGGGCCCCGCCCCCTCACCGGGCCAGCGGCAGCCACCGCGGCGAGCCCAGGGCTGTCGCGGTCGTCGCGGAAATCGGGCAGCGTCTCGAGGCAGAAGACGACGATGGAGACGAGGATGACGAGCACGGAGACGACGGCAAGCACGCGCGCGGCCTGCGAGCTCTCGGGGAACTCGAAGAGCAGCCAGAGCTGGCGCGCGAAGGCGCGGCGGGGCAGGGGGCGCTCGGGCGGCAAGGGGCAGCCCTCGTCCTCGCGCAGGCGCGCCAGCGCCGCGGTGCCCAGCCCGTAAAAGGCCACCTCCTCCAGGAAGATGTCGAGCGGCACGTGCGCCGGCCGCCGCAGCCGCCCGCCCGACTGGTAGTAGTAGAGCACGGCGTCGAAGCTGGGCCGGTGCCGGTCGAAGAAGTACTCGCGGCGCGCGCCGTCGTAGAAGCGGCTGCGGCGCACCGGGTCCCCGAGCAGCGTGTCCGGGAAGCGGCCCAGGGTGCGCGCCCGCGTCTCGAAGCGCAGCCCCGCCACGTTGAGCACCACCCGCTCGCAGCAGCCGCACGGCGGCAGGCACCGCGGCTCCATGGCGCGCGCAGCCCCGGCGACCCGCGGACGGACGTGTGGCCCCGACGCCCGACCCGGCCCGTCCCCGCCTCGGCCACCGCCGCCGCCGCCGCCGCCCCAGCCTGGTGTCCGGTGTCCACGCGTAAAAATAGCCCGGCCGGCCGGCCAGGGCGCGGGGGAGGGGGCGCGGTGACCCCGGCGGGGCAGAGGGTGGCCGCGCGCCCTCTGCCGGGGCGCCCGCCTTTCCCCCCAGCCGCCGCCGTGCCGCGCTCTCTCGGCTTCCATCCCGATTTCGGTTCCCCTTTCCCTCTGTCTCTCCATCGCTCGGGATCTCTGTCCTGCGTGACTCCGGGTTTCCATGTGTCTCTCTCATCTCTTTTTTATGAGTGTCTGAGCCCCTCTTTTGGAGTCACCAAATTTCCAACCCTCTTTCTCTCGTTCTCTTGTGTCTCCGCGTCTGGTTCTACCTTACTTTGGGTCTCTGTCAGAGATGTATCTCTGAGTATCTCTATGGATCACTTATCTCTGAGTTTTGTCGTTGTAGGGGGTCTGTGTCTTGGTGTCTCTGGATCTCTGTCTTTGTTTTGTGTCTTGTTTCTCGGGGGTCTGTCCCTATTTATCTCTTGTCTCCCTTGGTCTCTATCTCTCCCCTCTGTCTGAGTCTTTCTGCCTTTCTGCTTCTTGTCTCTCTGGGTTTCTTCTCTCACTATCTCTTAGCCCTGTGTGTCTCTGTCCTGGATTTCTCCGGGGCGCCCCTTTGGGTCTCTTTCTTTCCCTGTGTCTCTGAATTACTGTGGGTCTCTGTCTCAGGGCCTCTGGACCCCTCAGGGTCTCCGGAGTCCTAATCGCTGAATCTCTAGGTCGGCTCCGCCAGTGTCCTCGTGGTTGCTGGGTCCCGGGGACTCTCCAGCAGCTGCAAACCATGAGCATGTGCGCCCCACACCCAGTCCCCTCGCCCGGGTCTCGTCCGGGGTCTCCACCTGAATTCTCTGCCAGACGTTCTGAGAATCCTCCAGGTCCTGAGCTGTAGCCCTGAATAGTGCAGACGGAGGCGGGGCCTGCCAGGAACAGGTGGGAGGTGGGCCGTGGAGATGTCTCAGGGTCACTCGAAGGGACCGAAGGACAGACAGACTGTGGCCTTCCAGCCACCGGTGTCCAATGACACCGCGTAAAAATAGCCGCATCTAGCCTATCGGAAGGGCTTCGGGGGAAGTGGTGGGGATTGGTCGCCGGGACTCCAGGGAATGGGGTCCCGGGCGCCCTCTGCTGGGGGACTGGAGAGAGACACTGAAGGTTATAACTCCCTGCGAATTCTGGCGCTCTGCAATTTCTTCCTGGGATGCTGTGTCACCAGCCCTCTGGATTTCTGTGTCCCTCTCTCTGGGTCTCTATCCTCCCTCTCTCGGGTCTCTGTCCCCCCATCTCTCTAGTCTTTTCTCTTCCGTTCTCCCTGGTCTCTGTCTCCTTTCTTCTCTGTCTCCTCTTTTCTCCCATTCTCAGAGACCACAAAGACACCCCTCTTTGTGGTCTCTGAACTCTGTGTGTGAACTGCTCCCTCCTCTCTGCAGCCCTGTCTCTTACAATCTTCTTCCACTGAGCCTGGAGGGGGTGTCCCTCCTTGCCACTTCCAGCCAATTCTCCCTGCCTCAGCTCCTTTGAAGCTCAAGCTTTCCATGGAGGCTTCTTCTCATCCTTACTTAATGAGCTCATCCCTTTCCATTCTGGCCACTCCCGATCTTTCATAGAAGATTTTGGGTCCTACCCATCACTCTACAACTACTGTCATTATTCTTAGTAATTTCAATATCCCCATAGATGGTCCTGCTGAAACCTGGCCTGCACTGGAAAATCTGGCCTGTGCTGGATTGTCTTTTCCAAAAAGGACCATATTTTTTGTCCTACCAGGTAGTCCCAAGGCTTGCCACACCCTATCTCGTGGAGTCCATGTCACCAGCTTTTGACGACTCCTTCAACTAATAGACCACCTCGGAAGGAATACTGTGATTTCTGAGGTTGGGTCAAAAGGCAACTTTCCGCACCACTCTTTTCCCTGGGACACTTGTGCAGGCCAGATGGCGAGGCCCATGTGGAGAGGACGCTAGGGTACCAGCCCTGAGCCCTGGCTTGACTCACAGCTGATCACCAGCACCAACCTGCAGCCGTGTGAGTGAGCCATTCTGGAAGCCTGTCCTCCCCCAGCCAGGCTACCCCTGCCGATGCTCCTGGAGCAGAGATAAACTTTCCTCCCCAAGACCTGCCCACATTGCAAACTTGGGAGGGAAATAAATGATCTTCGTGGTTTTCAGCCATGCAGTCTCTGGGTGGTTTGTTACAAATGCTGCAGGAATAGATAACCAGAACATGACTTCTCGCTACTCTGAGCCCATCATTTCCATCGATCTTGCCCTCCGCCCCATACCAGCCGCCCACTTTCTTTCTTTCTGTTTTTTAAAGTTTTCTTGAGCTACAATTCACATAGCATACAATTCACCCATTTAAAGTGTACAACACAAAGTCTATGCTCTCCTTTTTCCCATCAACTGAGTTTTAAAACCTTTGAAGTCCACCAGCATGAACAGTGCATTGACTCTTACCTCTTCATCATGTCTGACTCCCCCCACCTTGTCCTCCCCTTGCTTCTTTCTTCTGCTTCCACTGTTCCACGTCCACCCATAAAATCACTCTTCCACACGTCTCTAACTCCCTTGCTTATGACCCCCTCCAGGGCACTGTTGGGGCCAAACCCTAACCCTAGTAAATCCTTCTCTCACCTACTCTGTGCCTTCCCAGGGGGCCCTGAGCAAGGCTGGACCCCAAAGTACCCTCCGCCTCCCCAAGATGGCTGTTACCCATCTTCGTTCTCCTCGAACACCCTACAGCGCCCTGGCCCTTCAGTCAGCTGATTGCCTCACTCCTCATTCCACTGAAAACGTAAAAGCTCCCAGAACGCTTCATCTGCCCGCAGCCCATTCTACCATCTGCCCGGATGACCTGCTTTTCATCCGTCCCACCCCAATCGAAGACCAACATCTTGCCTCGTGTCCTGGATCCCATCTCCCTGTTCTACCCGCAGACTCTGCTCCTGTCATCACTCTTACTTCTCCTGTATCATCAGTGTGGGAGGCAGAATGATGCCCCCCTGAAAGATGTCCACATCCTGACCCCCGGAACCTTTGAATATATCACCCTATATGGCTAAAGGGACTTTGTGAACATGATTAAATTGAGTCTCTTGAGTTGGGGAGATTATCCTGCATGATCTGGGTGGACCCAACGTCATCATGAGGGTCTTTATAAGAGAGGTAGGAAGGTCAGACTCATAGAAGAGGCGAAGATAGAAGTAGAGGTCAGAGAGAAGATGCTACACTGCCGACGTTGAAGATGGAGGAAGAGGTCATGAGCCAAGGGATGCAGGCAGCTCTAGAAGCTGGAAAAGGCAACCAAACGAATTATCTCCTAGGGCCTCCAGAAGGAACCAGCCCTGCAGACCTATTTTAGACTTCTGGCCTCCAGAAGTGTATGCTAATAAATGGGTGGTTGTAAGCCACTAAGCTTGTGGTAATTTGTTACAGCAGTGACAGGAAACTAACACAGCGGGTCTCTCCCATTCCTTGATATCATTCCCACGTTATAATAATATCTTTTTTTTACTTTTAATTTTGAAATACTGTTAGACTTACAGAAGAGTTGCAAAGATTGCACACAGATTTCGTGAATATCCTTCACTCAGCTTCCCCTAATGTTGGCATCTTACATTGCCGTGGTATATTTGGGAAAACCAAGAAATTGATGTTGGTGCAATGCTGTTGCGTGAAGGACAATCGGATTGCCTTTGCTTTTCCACTAATGTCCTTTCTCCATTCCAGGAGCCAACCCAGGATACCACATGGCTTTTAGTTGCCACGTCTCCTTATCTCCTGCAATCTGTGCTCGTTTCTTACTTTTTCCTTGTCTTTAATGACCTCAACACTTTTGAAGAATACTTGTCAGTTACTTTGTAGACTGTCCCTCAATTTGTGTTTATCTGGCATTTTATCTTGATTAGATTGAGATTATAAGGTTTTTTGGGGGGTGGGGGAAGAATGCCACAGAGGTGAAGTCCTCGTCTCATCACATCATATTAGGGGCACATGATGTTGATAAGCTTTATCACGAGTGATATTAATTTTGATCACTTGGTTAGGATAGTGTCTGCTGGGTTTCTCCACTGTAAAGTTATTTCTTCCCTTTGTAATTAACGAATATTTGAGGAAGCCATCTGTTTTGTTCAGTCAAGTTTATTGAGATTTAATTTACATAGAATAAAATTCACCCTTTATAGCGTACATTTCTATGAGTTTTGGCAAATGTGTAGTCATGGAACTGCCACGACAATCAAAATATAGAACAGCTCTGGGGCTGGCCCATGGCCAAGTGGCTAAGTTTGCGCACTCCGCTTCGGCGGCCCAGGGTTTCGAGGGTTCGGATCCTGGGTGTGGACATGGCACCGCTCATCAGGCCATGCTGAGGTGGCATCCCACATGCCACAACCAGAAGGACCTACAACTAGAATATACAACTATGTACCGGGGGCCTTTGGGGAGAAGAAGAAAAGATTGGTAACAGATGTTAGCTTAGGTGCCAGTCTTTAAAAAAAAACAAAAAAGAGAACAGCTCCAACACCCCCCAAAGTTCTCTCCTTCCCTTTGTAGTCAGCTGCTTTCCCCAGCTCCAGGTCTTGAAAAGTACTGCTGTTTTCTCTCCCTCCATCCCTGTAGTTTTGCTTTTTCCAGAATGTCAAATAAATGAAATCATGCAATATGTAGCCTTTTGAATCTGCCTCCTCTGCTTAGCATAATGCACTGAAGATTCACTCCTGTTGTGTGTGTTAATGGTTCTTTCCTTCTTAACACTCAGTGCTGTTCCAAAGCCTGATGTACGCCCGTTTGTTTATACATTCACTGTATATGAGAGACATTTGAATTACATTTCATTTTTGGCGGTTACAAATAAAGATGCTATAAAAATCCATGTACACGCTTTTGTGTGAACATAAGTTTTC